ACTCACTGCCCCAAGGACTTGGATGGTTCAGGGAAGGGAATACAGCTCTTAAATACCTCCGTGCCTCCAAAGACATTTGTCATTTCAGATCTGTGCTGCTGGTAGGAACCAGTTTTTGCTAAAAATGCGTTTTAAAGGCAGTTCCCATCTCCCTGAATATCCAGAGGATATTTCCAGTTCAATACTCCCAAGTCCTACAGTACCACCATCATCTCTCCAGGCATGCAGAGAGAAGGAAGGGAGAAGGAACCTTCTAGTTGTGCCAGGAAATTAAGGCAGAGCTGGAGGATCCAACTGCTGGCTCCTTAAGGACAAGTTGGGATGGAAGCCCAATCCAACCTTCTTTTTATGGAGCAGTTAATGTGATAATATCTAAGAGAGAAGGAAACCTTATACAGACAGAGGGAAATCTTAATTCTCAAACAGACCAGAGGCAATTACCAAAATTATAGCAATGGAATTATTTTTTTGCAGTCAAGCATAATTATGGAAAGTCTATTGGAAAGAAAGCTTAGGCCATGATTTGCATTTCAATTAATCTTCAAACTTTTGTGTGGAGAATTGATGGCCAGAATTGAGAAGTACAGGAACTACCAGACACTGAAATACACTCATCAATATAATATAGGATTTCCAAGGATGCAACTCAGACAATGTTCCAGCATTTAGGGCGTTTTGGTTTTTTTCCAATTAGCCTGCAGAAAATGGATAAAGATGTAGAGGGAGAGAAAAAACCACCAGTGCTACCACCTGGCTCTGCTGGGTGGTGCAGCAGGATGAGAGGCAATGGGAAGAAACTGGAATGAAGGAAGTTCCTCCTGAAGGGGAGGAAGAACTTTCCTGTGAGGTGACCATGCACTGGAACAGGCTGCCCAGAGGGGTGTGGAGTCTCCTTCCCTGGGGATAGCCAAAACCCACAATCCCAAGGATGGTGGACACAGTGCTGGGTTACCTGCTCTTGGGATCCTCCTTGAGCAGTGAGGTTGGACTGGATGACCCTTGGGTCCCTTCCAAGCCCAGCCATGCTGGGATTCTGGGATTCACATGCAGCTGAATGGGCAGATCCAAGGCTCCTGAGAATATCTTCCTTCCTGAGGTTTACCAACAGTGCCCAGAGCTCACAGCAAACCCTCAGGATATCCTTCCTGCCAATCTGACAATCCCAAGTCATCACTTCCACATGTTAAAAAGGAACATTTCTGTATTAAACTATCTGCAAAGTTCTGCCCAACTGCCTTACAACTTTATTGATTATAATTGGCTCTTCCTCCTTCAGCCCAAGAATTTCACACAAAATTCCAATTATACAATCCAGCATGAGACAGCCAGAGATACAGACCCTCTAACAAGCTTAGGCAAAAATCAAAGGGCTAAATCAAAAACTGGCTCACACCAAGTCTATTCTTTGTGCAGTGAAGCAAGACTAATTAATGCTTTTAATGGCAGTTTACCCCTTTTGGAGCCATAAATCAGAGCAGGCAGCTTTTCTGAATTAACAAAAGAATCTGTGAAAGGTGTAGCTCATTAAGCACACTCCCAAATTCAAATGCACTTAATCAGAACCAGGTACATTGAGCAGGACTGCAGTCCAGGAGCAGAGTAATCTGCAGGCTGTACACAGGGAACATTCATTCATCAACACAAACAAGGCTGGCACGCTGGGAAGAGGGGCTGAATTATACATCTGAGAGAAAGGCCCCTGCTTCCAGCACGGCTTTTGTGAGGGCAGGAATGTGGAGAACACTGCAGGAAGGCGCTGTGGAAAGGTGGGGGGGACAGGGAGGGTGTTTCCCAGAAGCTCACCTCAGCCACAGAGCCCTTGAACAGAGCACACTGCTGCTGCTGAGCTGCTGGAGCAGATCCAGACAGGGCACCACGGGGATCAGAGGGATGGGGCAGCTCTGCTGGGAGAATTGGGAGTGTTCAGCCTGGAAAAGAGAAGCTTTGGGGTGACCTCATGGGGACCTTCCAGGACCTGAAGGGAACCTGAAGGGAAAGATGGAGACAGACACTTTACTAATTGACAGAGAGCTTTAGACTGGATCACAGGAAGAAATCCTTCCCTGGGAGGGTGGGGAAGCCCTGAGAAGCTGTGGCTGCCCCATCCCTGGGAGTATTCCAGGCCAGGTTGGAGCAACATGGGACAGTGGAAGGTGTCCTGGTGGCACTGGATGGGCTTTGAGGTCCATTCCAACCCAGGCCATTTGGGAATTCTATGATGTACCTAGAGATGCTGTAAGAGATCACATAGGGAAACTTCCTCCTTGTATAAGGTGATGAATTATAAAGATTAATGACCCAGCATTTCACCCTAGGTAACGCTCTTGCAAATACTTTTCTGAGTCAGATCCACTCCTCTAAAAAGTCCCCTTTTAAAATGTTTTTGCCACAGTTTCTTCCCACTATCCCATCCATGCCTGCCCTCTGGCAGTGGGAGCCATTCCCTGTGTGCTGTCCCTCCATCCCTTGTCCCCAGTCCCTCTGCAGCTCTCCTGGAGCCCCTTCAGGCCCTGCAAGGGCTCTGGGCTCTCCCTGGAGCCTTCTCCTCTCCAGGTGAGCACCCCCAGCTCTCTCCAGCCCTGCAGCAGCTCTGGGGCCTCCTCTGGGCTCTCTCCAGCAGCTCCAGGTGCTGCTGATGTTGGGGGCCCCAGAGCTGGATGCAGCACACAACTTGGCTTGACAGAAATCATTTTCCATATCACATGTTGTCTGAAAGGAATTTTGCTCTCCAAAACAGAGCTGGCAATGCAGGAAAACTTCAGATCTGTGAACAAAAGGATTAGCTCCTGCTCTAAAAAAATTCACTAAATGATGTTCCCAACAGCATCAAAGTGTCCAAGAGCTGCTTGCAAAATGCTCTGGATTCAGTGCATTCCCAGCCCAGTGAAGACCCCACCAAACTGGCAGAAATGCTCAGGAGACTTAAAGTCCAGAAATTTTCCACATGAGTTCAGAAACGTTGAGGAGCAGAAGTATGAAGTCCAGGCCCAGTTCCAAATTCCACTCACACACACTGGATAAAAACCAGCCTAATGTAAAAGCACATTTAAAAATATTTACATCAAACCAAACCATTACAGAGATAAGAGAGGTATTTATAGAAACACATGGATTTTATAGACACACCGTGTTTAACTATTTAATTGCTGGAATTTCAATTAGCATGTGGGGGAGTGGGGTATTTCCCAAGCAGGAAACAACCTAAGTAAGCTAAGACATGGAGCACTCACACATTCAAGTTTAACTCCATTTCCTCCACCTTTTGATTCCTGAATGAACACTGTGTCTAACAGGGAGGGGTTCAACTCAAGATAAAGTCACAAAGCTCCACAGGCTCCATCAATTCCACTCCTGAGCTTCAAATTTCTTCATCTGGAGCTGGATTGGACCAGGAGCCCTTGGAGCAGGAGCTTTCTTATGCAAAGCCAACACTCCACATATTCCCACTTAAAACACAACCTAGTTCTCTGGATCTCCCACCCATCACTTCCAGTCTTACTTTGTGTCCCTTCTCCCATCTCACCAGCCACCAAACCCACCCTTGGCTTTGCCTCTCCCCTTCCACAGCTCTGGAGTTTTGCTTCTCAGATCCCAAAAAGGCTGCACAGCCCAAACTGGGGAACCATACAGAAAAAAGGGATAGGAGCAGCTTCAAAGTCCTCTTTTTAAAAAAAAAAAAAATCCTTTTTTCTAGCATGAAGAGGGGAAAAGGGGAAGCAGGAGATGGACAAGGGATCATCACTATTCTGCTTCAAACAAGGAAAAGCTTTTCTGAAATCCTTGGCATTTTCTGTCCCATCCCACCTAAGCAGGGGTAGCAGGAGAGGGAGAAATACCCACATTTTGTCTGTATCTATAAAGGAGGCATTGATTTAGGGCAGCTTTTCCCAAAGCAGGGCTGGAGTGCTAAATTATTGTGAGGATAAGGGTCAGAGCGTGCCCAAAGGTTTGATCCCAACGCAGTGCAGCAGACCCAAGAGCAGCTGACATTTAAAGTTCATGTCATTAAGTGAGCAGCAAAACATAAAATGGAAAAAAAACATAGAGTCAAGCCTGGTTTTTCCATATTCCTGCACAAGAACAGCTGGATGGGGTCAGACAGACACTTCAGCCATCCCTGTGTCTTCTCTGCCCAACGGGGAAGTGTGAATCCCTAAGGGAAAAATGAAGGGCAGGCACACAGGGACATTTTCCCAGCACACTTTCCAGAGGGATTTCCTGAGGAGATATGTTCCTGTTTCACAGCTCTTGTAGATCATGCTGTCCCACTGTTATAACATATTAAATTCTCTTACACACACATATATATAAATATATAAAAAAATATATGTACATGCTCAAAAGGCTTGACCTGCTCAGGTCTCATCACGCTGGGCTCTATAAACCAAAATAAGGAGTTAAGACAGAAAGTGCTCCAACCAAGTGACACTGCAAAGTTTCTATTTGAAAACATTGTTTCTGGCTTTCTTCTCCCAAGAAATAGAAACTATTAGAAAACAATTTGCCTGTCTCCAGGCAAATGACAGAAGTTTATATCAGGAATGGTGTCTGTGCCAACCCGGGGATTTTGACCCAGCTAATGAACACAAGTCTCCTTTTTAATATAGAACAAAAATGTATTACTTACTAGGAAGATATTAAAACTAATAAACACTAAAAAAAGAACCCCTCTCACAATTCTTTATGGGAGCAGCACATAAGTACTGTGTGTTTTACTCAGGCTGCTGAAGACCTGATGTTTATTAACTTTCTAAATCAACACAATAAAACACACCAGGCACAGAGTGTTGCTGGAGCTTCAGCTTATGCATTTCTTGACCCAGAAATCACTTCTTATTTGAAAATGTAAAGTGCTTCTGTAGCAAAGTGAAAGAAGAGTATCAAACAGCAACAGCTGCAATCTCCACAGCATCCAAGGCTTTCCTGTCTGGAGGGAGCAGGGAAAGGGTTTTGGGAGGAGCAGCTAAACTGAAGGGCACAAAGACAGGAAGAATTGGTACCTCTTGGATACGAGCTTCCTTGGGATGGAGATAATCCGGAGAGGAGTGTGCCTGGGCTGGGAGTCTTCACAGCATTCCAGAGCTCTGCAGCAGCAAGAGAGAGAGAGAGAGAGAAAAAAAAAACACCCGTGAGGCTCTGTGGAAAACCTGCTGGAAGAAAACACGGCTCTTCCCAGCTCAGAGTGGGCTTCACCTCCACTGGAGCAGAAGGAGAAATGGGACATGTAAGAAATGCAGGCAAAAAAAGGAGGAGCGCTGGAGCCGCAGGGTACGAGGAGAGGGAAGGGACACCAGAGCTGGCAATAAGACCAAGGCCTTCCCAGCTTCCCAGAGGGAGAAAACAAAGTCCAAGCTTTCATTTAAAAACTTGTTTACCAGCTATTTGTCAGGATTTGGGACTAAACAGGTTTTAGCCTGAGTTTTACATGTTACTCCTACATCCTCCCTTCCCAGCTGACACAAAAGCTCCGAGAACTGAAAATGAAATCCCTCAAAATGAAGTGCAGCACCCAAAAAAAGCTCTCGAGGCACTCCACATGCTTTATGCATTATAAGGAGGAACAGAAACCCTACTGTTCCCAAAGCAGGACCAGCTCCTCGGAACAGTTGTTTATTTTAATCAACCCAGTACCAAAAGGTTTACATTAAATATTTTTTCATGGTTTCTAACCACTGATCCTGTATTAGTTTACATTCACTCAAAAAACACTCTGGGGGAGAAAGCAGGAGGCAGAAAACATTGAATCCAGTAAAACAACTGAGGTTTTTTTAGGGAGTGCTGGTACATCCCACCTTTCCCTGTAGAATTGCACCACCAGACCCTTCCAGGCATCTAATGAAACAGCATGAATTTGTAAATGAACAGAAAACAGTAAAATCTTCATTTTTACTGAATCTTTCTTCTTCCTGCCTCCTGCAGGAAGCCACCACCTGCCATCAGAGATGGCATCCTTGGAAAGAAGTCAAAACCCACCCTGCTGATGCTCCAATGGCCCAATAATCCAAACTCTGGTGCTAGCAGGAGCATGAGCACACTCAGAAAAAGAGGTCAGGAACATCTCCACCTGTGGTTTCTAAGGGTGCTTGACTTCAGTACTTCTACATTATAAGAAGCATATTCATTGCATGGAATTTAATCCTGGTTTCAGGCTTTTTTACTTGTTTTTATGGCCCTTCAATTCAGAGATAGAGCCCTAAAATATCTTCAGGAGACAGAGGAAAGTGTAAGTGAATTTCAGCAGAGACAAGGACTTGACAAATCTCATCCCATCAAGCTCTGCAGTGGCAAATTAGTCTTTCTCAGAGCACATTCTGTACTCAAAGTAGCCTCAGTACTTCAGGAGGTACCAAATATAACACAGCCCCATTTTAACTTCCTTCCAGGAATACACACTCTCATTTATTAAGAAGACGTGGGCTGCAGCTCCACTTCCAACAGCTTCAGTAACATTTTGTAAAATTAAACAAATTACTCCTTTTGTGGCAAAAGAGAAGCTGAAAATAAGTGTTCAAGCAAATGGGGGAGAAAAGCACCTCCCTCACATCTTCCTCCCCCCTTGGATTTCGGGAAAGCAAGCCTTGCCTGCTGCACCAGGCTCAGCATCAACCACAGGATCACCAACCACTCCTTTGCTGCTTTCACACCTCAATCCCCACACCTTTACCATTATTATTTCATTTCAGAGCTGCTCTGATACCTCAGTTTGCCCCAAGTCCCCATTTTTGGGACATTTCCACATCCTCGTGTGTGTATAAACCAAGGAAGTCCATAGCTCTTGCTGACAAGCACTAAAGGTGAGTGTGCAATGGTGCTGAACATCCAGAGGGTTTCCAGGATTTGGCAGGAGGACAGCACTGCCACAACCTTTAATGCTGAGGGATTCTCCAAACATTCCCCCTTTTGTTCAGCTCTGGCTGCTACAGAGAGGGAGAAGAACAGTGCCCACCTCTCATTAACCTTGGTGCTGCATCTTTCTTTAGCTGTAACACCATCAATACCTGCTTGCATTGTGCTGCCACTCAGCAGATTAACCCTTTTTTGGGTTTTTTTGGCTCCTTTTCTGTCTTTTCCTGACCAGAAGTCAAAATGATTCAGTTCAGAGGGAGTGGATGCTGCTGCTGCAGAGAGAAGCTGTGAAAAGCTGCAGAGAAGGAGGCTCTCCAGCTGCCAGCACACATCCCTGCCCTCTGCCACTGCTCAAAAACCAGCAGGGAACAGGCAGGATTGACCAAATTTGGATGTATTTGCAGAAAAACAATCAGTCCCAATCAGTGTCTTTGAGTGGAAGTGCAAAGACACTCATTAAAGAAGGAGAAAAAGCAAATGAATTTGTGAGAAGGTAAGCCTTTGGAAAATCTAGGGAAATAGCACAGTGCTGAGAGGTCCTGTTGGCACAGCCTTGTTCATCAAGAGTGTGATCTGGGATTTAGTCAGGGAAAACTGTAGGAACACAGCAAAAAACAGCCCTGCCTGCCTGTGGGGCAGCCTGTGCCAGGGCCTCAGCACCCTCACAGCCAAGAATTCCTTCCCAATATCCCACCTAACCCTGCCCTCTGGCACTGGGACACCACTCCCTGTGTCCTGGCACTACAAGCTCCCATAAAAAGTCCCTCTCCATCCCTCTTATCAAGTTAAGCAAAGATACCAAAGCAGGTTCCTGCAGCCCAGAATTCCTCCTTCCATTCCCACTTTCTTCTTACTATGAAAGAGATTAAATCCCTTAATATTTCCTAAGATTACTGCAACTACTAAGTAGGGAAGCTCCTTCCCTAATATCTTCGTCAACTCCATGTGCTATTTCAAGCAGCAAACAGGATTTTTAATTCTATCCTCCCTCCTATGCCCCAAATTTAGTTTTCTTCTTTTGTTTTAGTAGCTACACTTCAGTGATGATCTTATTATTCTTCTGTATTTCTCTTTTAATCCATTATTTTCCTTCTTCTTTCCACAAAACTCCAGTGATGGGAGCTGGGTAGATGGATTATAAAATAGATTGAGTTAATTAGGATGTGGTGATTAAAACACCTGTTTTGGTGGATTGCAGAGGGCTCTGATAAAATAGTGGTAGCATAAAAATGCACTCCACAACTGCTTATCAAATGAAGATAAAAACATTCAGCAAATGTCTGACATTCTGCAGGGTTAAATCCTATTCCATAACATTTTGGGTTTAGCCCTATGAGTAACCAAACCCCTCAAAATGGAAAAGGGAAAAGTTCCCCAAAAGTCAATGTTCACTTTCTTTACTGCCTGTTTTCAAGAATTTTCCCAAACTTGTTTTAGAATTTACTCTGGAATAATTATTTTCACTTGTGCAAGTTATATATTATAAGGCACCTCAGGGCTTCTAAGTCACAAATGACTTTGTAATGAAAACAAAACAATTTCATTATCTAAGATTATTGTTAATTGAAGGAAATACTGACTGTTCTACTGACAGCAGTCAACCTCCAGAAAGTGCAGCATTAAAATTTATATGCAGCCATTGTCTTAGAAATAAAAATAAAGCTTTCAGTGAGAGCAGCCTCAGTGTGGCCTTTTCCTCTATTTAAAAATAAAAATAATAAAATCAAAGCAAAACACTTCAACACAAGCCTTCCCTGCATTACAAAAGAGGGATTAATGAGAATCTATTTGGACACTGGGAAAAGCCCCGGCAGGTTCATTGTGAAGGTTAATTCAGACACCTTTACTCACACAGGGAATGGAATTAAAGAAACAGAATTTAAAGGCAATAGTGAAGGCTGCAGTGTTAAGCCATGAACAAGGAGACACCACAGAGAGGATACCAGAGACGTTTGTCATGGAGCCTAATGCACTTAGGACCTAAATTGTGGAAGAATAGGGCAAAGTGTTAATAAATGTATACAAATTATCCAGAATGGATCTGAATTCCATTCTGCTCAGGGCACATTAAAAAAAAACTAAAATTAAAGATCCACCTGGAGCAACTGGAAGCGAAAACATCTGTGCAAATACCTAGGAGGAAATAAAGGCATGGAAAGAAATAATTTTGGAAGGCAGAGAACATTGCAGGAAACCACAGGGTCATTCCTGGCTGGAAGCACTTTCCTGTCTTTCCTCTCCTTAAAAACTGGCAGTTGCCGTGGAGCCATCAGGAGTGGCCCAGAGCTGTACTGAGACTTGGATGAGGGAAGGGATCCAGGTTAAAAATAACCTGGGCTTGCTGTTCCCTGATCTGGTTCACCAGCTGGCCCTGGGAGAGCTGGACCAGCAGAGCCCAGGGGAACAGGCAAAGGAGGAGGGAGGCTCCCAGGGACAGCTTCACCCTGGAGTCAGGAAATACAGGACACAGCCCGTGGAACCGGCATGGAGCAAGAGGGGCAGCACCAGCAGGAATTCACCCCTGGATTCCCCAAACACTGAGGATGCTCAGGAGGGAAAGGCTCCCAGGGCTGCCTCTGGCTCCTGAGCTCCCTCCTGCCAAAGACCCATCTCCAGCACTCAGCTGGTGGAAGAACTGGAATTGCTGGGAATCACCAGCAATGGCTTTGGCCAGTCAGGAGGGGAAGGAGTTTTTAAGGAAGAGGGTGAAGAGGGCCTGTGGTTCAGCAGCACCTTGCTCACATCCACCATGGGAAAACATCCCTCCAGGAAAACTCCATGGAACAACACACAATGACTCAACATCTCCAGGTGTGCAATGAGCTTCTAAAATTAGATGGTTCTTGAAACCCCAGAGTATTAAATATCCCAGGATCCTCCTTCATTTTTTACATGCAGGATCAAAGTGAGAACTCAAGAGGCAAGAAAAGTGAGGAAAGCCTTGAACTGGCAAAGTTGGGCATCATCCTTTCTCCAGGAACATCCTGTTGGCTCAGCCCCCAAGCAAGGCAAGTGACACACATCAGGGTTCTGAATGTCACCCCTGACCACACCTCCCTTTGACATCACTTCCACTGTATCCTTAAAATAACTTTCCCACTTGGAGGATGTCAGCAGAAGGCCAGAAGGGCAGAGCAAGCTTAGGAAAAGCAGCAAATCCCATCTGCATTTTTACTTACTCACAGTTACTGATTAAAAAAAAAAAAAAAAAAAAAAAAAAAAGAGTCTAATCCCCTGG